GGGGTTCTTCAGAGACACAAAACTAGGACACTTAAGATGATAGATACATGATAGATGATAGATAGATAGATAGATAGATAGATAGATAGATAGATAATGAAGGAATATAACAGCTAATTAGTCCACACAGCAGTACAGAAGGTTCAGTTCAACTCACTTCCATGAAACAGGTAATATACTGGAAGTCCTTCAACTCACAAGGGCTGCTGGGTCCAAGGTCAAGGAATCAGACAGCTGAGTCTTTGGTAGAGCAATGCAGGCAGTCCAGCCACAGGCAGCAAACAGCAGGGTGGGTCACCAACAGTCAGCCAGATGACAGGATCTGACAGTCCCCATATCAAGCGATAGATACACCAGCAGTGTGATGAAGCAGGACTTGAAGGAACCTCAAACTCCAGCTACACAGTCTTCTGGTTGGGTGTCCCACAGGTACTGTAGCTCGCAAGTTGAAGCAGAGAATTAGCTAAGGAACACTGGTCCAATCACCAGACAGCAAGAGAGAGAGAGGTGGGATACACTGAGGCATTTATCTCTTTGCCCTTCATTCAAACAGTGACCTTATTAATCCCACATGTTCTTATTGGCCAGGTTAGCACAATAAACCTACCTGTCACACTATCTTTCTCTCAATATGTGAATTTTTTATGGAGAGAGCTGACAGTCAACAAATGATGGCTTTACATTTCCTACACTAATTGGTCCTTTGCATGACTTTCTAATGAAGCATTTCTTCATTCTCATGTTCCTTGAAACAGAGGGAACGATGGCACTAGGTATGGCGTTTTGCTATCTTGTTTGTTGGGTTTGGGGAGAGTCATGAAATAGAGAGGTGCACCCCACCCCACCCCCCAGCATCCCAGCACTGAGTCTGTGTACGCTGATTTTAAGTGTTCTGTCAAGGGTGCTTTGAGATTGGAATGTGTGGTCCATAAGAGCGAAGGTGTTTTTGATTCGACCAAAGCAATGCACCTTGGGGCTGAAATCTGACTGGGGAGACTTTATTCATGGCCTGGGGTGGGGCAAACTGATCAAGGATGATCAACGCGTATGGCCCCCGAGATATGGTAGTCGCTGTAGGAGAAGGCGTTTTCAGGGAGTAAATAGATGAGAGAAGATTCCCAAAGTGTGGTTATCAGATCGAATAACAAATGATGAGATTATGAAGGCTCATAACGTCCCTGCTCAAATGCGGTTTGCAAACATTGATACTGATGCCGAAGAACCTCTGATGATAATTTCCACCAGACCTCAGACTTCCAAGGGAGACCCTGTGTTCAGAAATTTGGGCTCAAAGGAGACTCTGGCTCTCATTTGGGCTTTGATCTGTCGTAAGCTTCTGTGCGTGGGGAAGCAATTTCTGAAAAGCCCGAGGGAGCTCCACTTGGGAGAAATCTGGAACTGGCCAGCTGTCTTTCTAGTGGAAAGACTGAGACATGAGAGACCAGCTCAGTTTTGACATGGTCCAACCATGTGGTTCCAATCTGACCTCCAAGATTTTAAAGAGCCTGAGCTAATGTAAATAAACATACATATTATTTTATATAAATATAATATGTATTTCAACTACACATTGAAATATATTCAGATATATGTATTCGGTTATATATAAATGAATATATATTCAATTACTTTCATGGCATTTCCCATTTCCTTCCATTCCACCCATCTGTTTCTCCTATCTTCTAATCAGAAGACTTTTCGAGGCTGTTGGAAAGGCCAGTCTCAACCATTGGAAGGCCAATTTAAGATTGGAATCATATTTGAAAGCTTACACTGTTTATAAAATATGATTGCAATCTAGCTATCCCTGATGTGGTAACTCTTAAAAGGAGAAAATCATGTTTCATTAAAAAGAGCGTGTTCCAACATGACTCTGACCAGGTACGTAAGACAAGGTACACTGTTTCCCAAGATTGCATGCAACTGTATCGCTGTGTAGATGTCAGAGTATGGATCTTAGGGTTTGGTCGGACCCCACTGAAGGGTAAACCGTTCCTAACAGAAGGAGAGGATCGCAGAGGGCCACTTGTCATAGTGACCCCCAAAGGAATGGATGCTTTGGGGCTTAAACAGAAGCCAGTGCTTTCCCTTTGTAATCCAGCGAACTTGACTCCTTGAGTTGATATGCCCTGAGAGCGTGAGCTGGGTGTAAGAGGAGACTGCTAAGTATATAGAACTGTCATAAGTAATGGAGGGAACTAATGAGCTGAAAAGGGACCACTGACAAGTGACAAGGTGCAAAAACAGCAAGCAATGGACCAAAATAATACCTTGGAAGAGAAAAGAATTCTCCAGCTGAGCACCATTGGCATTTACATGAAAAGAGCCCCCTTCCCACCTCTTCACTAGAACAGTGGAAATAAGGAAGCCAAGAGACAGCCATCTACATCTCACTTGCTTGAAGCAAACATACAGCCAGCCAGTAGACTTGGGTGAAGAAGGAGAGCTCAGGGGGCTCTGGAGGGGAGATTTAGCTGGTTTCTGCTCTATGTAAGTGCCCAATGGCAGCAGAGTCTTCTAGATGGACCTGTCATGAAGCACATGAACCAGCATCCCACTTTCCTAGTTTCCCTAATGCCAGACTAATGTCTGTCCCTGATGGGAAGTCAACAGGCCACATCAGCACGAGCAAACTAAAGACAAAGAGGCAAGCTGGCCATTAAACAAATCCAATGTTGAGGAATGCCCTTTATTGGGAGATGACGCCATTTTTGAAGCATGTCCTTTCCTTAATGGCGTACTGATCACACCACAAAGTTGACGTTGGAGTCATTTCTGCTGATTGCAGGTGTTGGGTTTTGTATAAATCAGTCCCAGTAGTTTTTCAGTTTCCCTTCTCTATGAAATGTCAAGTCTGAGCCCCACTGAGAGCAGTGGGAAATGACAAAAAGGACGAACCCCGTTCCGTTTACGAAATTTAAAACTCCAGGAGCTGATACCAAGGGCTCAAGTAGAAAGAAAATGTTTTGAAAATGTTGATGGCAACATCTGTACAAATGTGCTTAATACAATTGAATGATGAATTGTTATAAGATTTGTTAAAGCCCCCCAATAAAATGATTTTTTTAAAGAAATTTAAAACTATAAGGCAAATAAATATGACCAAGAGGGAGTTTTGTCTAAATGCATGTGAATAGAGAGAGTCGCTGACATCTCCGGCTGTTGTGGGGCCCAGCCGAAGCATTAGATGAGACTCAGGCTGGCCTTGCTCCGCCAGAATGGATGCCCAGACAAAGACAGTGCCCTTCCCACTCTCAAAATTAAATAGAAAATTAAACGTTTTCATTCACCAAACCTTGGAGAAAGAATTTTCCACCCAGGAACTGGGTAGGAAATCCATGTGAAGTGGCCCACTGCCTAGCCCTAGGCCACTCTAATAGCTGGGACCCAAACCCTCTGGCCTCCGTGTGGATGTAGCTGTGTAAGTTTCTGGAACATTGAACCTCACTTCCTTCTCTCTGCTTCAGCCCTCTCCTCAGCCCTCATCTGCAGTACCTCCCTCTTTTGTCTAACACCTTTTTCTCTGTGGGAACCACATTGGTTCCCAACACTGCAATTAGCTGCTTCACTGTCCTCAGAACATAGACTTTGCCTTCTCGTGTTGGTTCAGCCAACTCCATCCTTTCTCCAAGGCCTGGAGATAAGGGTTTCCATACATACCATCAGTGATGAGATCCTGGCTCTAGAATTCTTTAATGACCTCAAATTTAGGATGCATTGACTGTCTCCACCCATGAAGGCAATAAAAAGGAATGGAGTGAACTTGATGGCTGTATTGAGGACCACGCCCCTGGCTCTATTCCTGACTCTAGAATCAGAAGATCTGAGCCTTTTGCTAATAAGCTAATGTCTCTTGAGCACATCTCTCTGAAGCTCATCGATGCAGGCTTGGGCAGAAGGAGCTCCAGGAGCTTGGTTAGTGCTCATATGCTGCCATTAAAGGACGCCAGAGTCTTAACTAGACCTGTCTGCGGTCTTAAACTTGCCCAAGGTGAGAAACTGGCAGGATGTCCTGAATCCTCTACCTCCCCAAAGAAAATCTCTTGGGTAGGATAGCCTTCTGAGTCCCTACCTCTCCTCGCCCCAGCTCCACCCTTTGCCAAAGACTTGGTCTGACATCAGCGTTATGAGAGAGCAGTTCATTGGGCTAGAGGCTACCGGTAGACCTGGTCACTGGCAACCCAGGCACCGGATGTTTGCACACCCGCCAAGCCTGGTGTGTCCTCACCAACCAGTGTTCATTTCTACATCTGGTTACCCATACCAATGGCAACCGTGGTGATGGTGCCTCTCCCCAACCCATTGCTGTTTATCTCTGGGACATGGTGGAAGGCTGCAACTGCTTGCATTTGGGGACCTAAAGGAAATTGCACACATTTATCTATATGGACATATAGAATGTCCTCTCATGGGCGAGGGTCAGGGAAGCATATATGTGCAAAGACAACTTGAAGACTCTTTGTCAAGTGTAAGGAGCAGATCCTGGCACTTTGGGCTGGCTGTCCCTGAGGAATCCCCCCGCCCTCTAAAAAAAAAGAATGCAAGCCAGAGGTGCCCAGGTCTCTCCACCTCCAAAAAATGAACCCAAGGAAACTGTGGGCTCCTCTTGGTTGGAGATGAGGATTCCCGTGAGCTTGGCCGGGAGATTTTACTCTCCCTTCTTGATAGCGGTTGCTCTTTCTCTAACATCAGGGATGTACCTGGATAGAAAAAAGCTTTTATTAATTTCCCTCAGCCTACAGCTCTCCAAGTGTCTCAACCAAAGGAATGCAGTGCACCTACTTAGAGGTGTCTCCCAGGACGTGATGTTTTCCCAGGTTGTGTTTCTCTGAACCAAACTGCTGCTAGTCGTGTCAACTCCTGTAGGTTTCACTGAATATAACTGCATGGAACGCTATGACTGTTGGCAGTGCAACATGATCGAAAAAAAACATTGCATTTCTTTTTTAATCCAACGGGGACTAGCAGGTTTATTGTGTTTGCATGTGCTTTCCCCCTAGACTCTGGCTGCCCTAACAAGAAACTCAATAAATCTGCTTCCAAATCATCTTGCACAAGCTTTGCATGTCCAGTCTGGGCCTGAGGAAATTAACAAGAGAATAGAACATACCATCGACTTGCGGAGTGGCGATAAATTGAGAAGAGAGCATATCAAACCGTTCTCACTGATGTTTAAAGACTCCAGCCTGGAGCACAAGGTAGAGCTGGGTCTCCACGGCGCCTTCCTCTTTTCTTTTCCTTTTTCTGAAGTCAACTGTTATCAATGTTCGTGGGATAGATCGAGTGCCCAGGGGTGGCTGTGATTTTTGGTGTGTGAGTGTGTGTGTGTGATTTCTTTGGTTTGCTTTGGTATTGTCCGTTCTTTTTAATCTTTGAAAACCATGAGTAGACTAAAGACCATGAAAGGAGACACAGGTCAGAGGTTTGCTCTCAGAGGGAGCAGGCTCTCAGCCTTCAGTAAGTCTCAGAGGGCTTCCATCCAGGGCTTTGCGGGTTCAAACCAGGTCACGCGGGTTCCAACCCCTGCTGAGAATGTGCATTCCCACCCCAGGTTATTGGATCAGAATCCACATTTGAAAAAGATCCCCAGCTTATGGTTCTTATCCATAAGACTCTCCTAGAGATGTGTAAGAATCCCTGAGAAATCTTGTTAAAATTCTGAGTCAGGGTCCCTAGGGGTTGGGGGCCGGGGGGAGCAAATTCTCAGCAGAGGATGAACCAGTCTGAAACCATGAGGAGCCCTGGTTTCTGCCGCTGGGGATTAGTAGCCATCTGAGATTTGCAGCCTTTGCTTTAAGGTGAATTGTCATCCGTTGCTGTCTTTATAGCGTCCTATGTGAACGTCCCAATAACAGAAGCCCAGTGGGCACTGACGGTTCCTATAGATTGCAGAGAACGCTTCCCCCATCTGTCGGCTGAGCTGCTGGCTCTGCGCCAGTCAGAGTAGTAGAAGTAAGGTGGGTCAGGGCTTTAGAGGCTGACCTGACAGCAGCTCTGTCACTTCTTGCTCTGGGGCCTCGGATAAGTGAGGTCACCCTTCTGGGCATGAGGATAGTGAATGTGCCCATGTCCAGTCATGAGGCTATTGGGAAAGTCTCCAGGCCATGCTTTGATGAGGTCAAGTGTTCAACATGGCAGCCATGATGATGCTGGTGGGATTTCTGTCTGAAGCTGCCAGGCCTCCCCAACCCCACCATGAAGGGGAGCAGGCAGGGAGGGACCGGCCTGGTGTCACTGGGCTGCTCGCTTGTTTGCACTGAGAGAAGCTGACAGACCCTCTTGGCTGGGCACAGAGGGCACTTGGCATCTGCAGGAACCTCGGGTAAGAACAGCAGGGAATTTGCAAGCCAATGTCAGGAGTTTTGATCCAACGCTCTGTAACGCTCCCACAAGCAATTTGCTGTGACTTTGCTCAGCTGCCTGGAGAGATGCTGCCTTCTTCGGTGTGTGCCGTTCACACGCCATTCCGTGCACGCACACCATGCCGGCTGAATTTCCTTGATAACTGGCTGAAGATTGCAAACCTCAGAATTAATACTGTCTCCTGCAATCCCCAAATGCATTGAGTCTATGTACTTCGAAAACAAAAAGGAAAAGAAACGTTTTGCCTTGCTTATGCGCTCCCCTCTCCCCACACACAAACAACCAAAAGAGCCACCCCCGCAAAGAAAAGATTTGCTGTTTCGTTCATCACAAAGGAGCCCTGGTGGCGGCCGTAATGGTTACACGTTGAGCTGAGGGCTGCAATCTGAGAGGTCTGCGGTTCCAAACCTACAGACGCTCCCGATGGGAGTGGGGGAAAAGGCTTTCTACGCTTGTTCCCAGCTCAGAAACCCACAGGGGCAGTTCTCCACTGCCTTGCCGGGTCTCTGTGAGTCTGTACCGACATGATGGCAGAGAGGGAGGAGGGAGTCATTCTAACTCATGGCAACCCCATGTGTCTGAGAACCGTGCTCGGTGGGGTTTAAAGGCTGTGACCTTCCCAAGGAGATGGTCAGGCCTTTCTTCTAAGGAGCCTGTGAGTGGATTCAACCAGCCAACCTTTGAATTAGTGGTCAGGCACTTAACCATTTGCTCTACCCAGAGCCTCCTCCGATGGTGGGGTTTTCCTATTTGTCATAGGAGGAAGGCTTCAAAAATTTGGTACGAAAATGCCATTCATTATCTTTTCACTCCATTTTCTCACCAGCTTTTGAACCCCCCTTGTATCATTAAGGACTGGCACTCCAAATGAAGTGCATTTTCTGCCCCAACTGCCAAGGTCAAGGAGCTCGGAAGAATACGTGGTCTTACAAAGAATCTCCTCAATTAGCCCATGTAACCCCTGTGCCCAGAGAGGTCCACAGCCTTGGTGCTCATCTGCTCTGATACGCTGCTTCCTTCCCCAGGGAAGTACTGCAGACGACGGGGCAGGCCCGTGTCTCTCTGTCACGCCTGCATCTCATCTGCAGGCCCGTGTGGGGGCCAGAGTGGATCTAGGGCAGCTCAGTGCCTTTGTGGCTGGATTCTGTGACCAGGGCAGCTTCCCCCAGGCAGGCCAAGGGCTGTGCCATCAGCAAACGCGTGTGATTCACCCACTGGAAGTGCTCCAGGCTCAGGTCTGCTGCATACCAGGGCCATGCTTGCTCTGCACACCATGGGTCCCTCGGTCACAAGGGTGATGGGAATCACCAGAAAAAGATCACAGCAACCTGCCCCTCAGGTTCTCACTCCGAAACCCCTCTGGAAGAATGACATGACTGCCTGCCAGAAAATACCATCAGAACGTTCCCTGCATATTTGCTATGTCCGGACACCATTCTAGGGGTGCTGGCAGTGTTGTGGGTTAGGCCTTGGACTGCTAGCACAAGATCCGAGGTTCAAACCCACCACCCGCTCTACCAGAGACAGACACAACTGGCTACTCTTGTCAAGATGTAGTCTCCGATACACTAAGGAGCAGTTCTACTCTGCCCTGCAAAGGGTAGTGGTCAGTCAGAATTGATGTGATGACAGTTGTGTTAGGCCGGGTTGACAGAGAAACAAATCCAGAGACATTCATGTATGTATAAGAAAGAGCTTTATATCAAGAAGCTTTATATATCAGGAAAACATCCCAGCCCAGTCTAAACAAGTCCATAACTCTGATACTAGTCCATAAGTCCATGTTCAGACGCACCAAGCCACATACAATGCTGCAGAATGCAGGAAGGTCACAGGTTGGTGGGTGCAAAGTCGTGTGGATCCAATGGTGGTGGCCACATCACAGGACTTGCAACAAGGGGGGTCAGCCAACAGGAAGGTGAAGGCAGAGAGACGGGGCAGAGCGGTGCTGACCCTTCTGATGAGATGGGCCACGCCCACAAGGAGGCACCATCAGGCTGTGACCTGACTGACAGGCTGGACACCACTTCTACATTTTTATATATCTTCAAGTTGACATGAGAGTATGTAACTCCCACAACAGTAGGCTTACATGTGGAAGGAAGAGGGAGATGATTGTAGCATGAAGAGCCCTGGTGGTACAGTCGATTAAAGCTTGAGTGCTAACCACAAGGTCAATGATCCAAACCCAACAGCTGTTCTCCGAGAAGGTGAGGTGGTCTGCTTGTAGAGAGATCTATAGTCTCAGAGACCTTATATTGGGTTTCAATAAGTAGAAATTGACTCACGGGTGGGTATTCTAGAATGTTCACTAATAACAACACAAGTTGATACTATCAATTAATAACAACACAAGTTGATACTATCAATTAATAACAACACAAATTGATACTATCAATTAATAACAGCACAAGTCGATACTATCAATTAATAACAACATGGTCGATACTATCAAGAACCTCATTTGGGCATTGAGGACAGGATGGCAGGGGCTGTCCAAAGGCGAACAGAGGCTGAGATCTGAGCGCATGTTGACCTCAAGTCGGCCCTCTTGTCTGTTGACAATGCTGCCATCAAGTTGGTCTTGACCCGTAGCAGCCTTATGCACAACAGAACAAAAAGACGCTGCCCCATCGTCACAACTGTTTCAAGGCTTGAACCCATTGTTGAAGGTACGATGTCAATCCATCTCGTCAAGAGCCTTCCTCATTGTCTCTGTCCTCCAGTTTACCAAGCACGGCGTCCTTCTCCAGGCTCTCTCCTCACAACGCATCCAGAGAATGGAAGACAAAGTTTCACCATCCTTGCCCTTCAGGAGCACTCTGGCCGTACTCCTTCCAAGACAAATCTGTGTGTCCTCTTAGCAGTCCATGGTACTTTCACTGTTCTTCTCCAGCACTGCCATTAACATACAGTAGTATCCCATTTAGGAAGAGAACACTTGGGTCTCCTGGAGGCTCCATCAAGGTCATAGATCTCAAAACCCAGCTGCCTTACTTCATGGAAATGAAGCAACCCGCCTACTCCCTTCAGCAGCACTTGCACTAAACTGGAACACGTGAGATGAGCCTGGTCCCTGCGTAAATCTTTTTAGGAGCCCTGGTAGTGTAGTGGGTTATACTTTGAGCTGGTAACCACAAGGTCTGCAGTTCAAATGCAATAGCCTCCCCGCAGGCTTTCTGCTCCTAAAAGATTTACAGCCTTGAAAACCCACAAGGGCAGTTCTACTCTGTCCATAGGATCGCTGGGAGTTAGAATTGACTCCCGAACTGTGGGTTTGGTATTTTAATTTCAAAGAACCATCAACTGTGAGATGCTCAATATTCCAAGAGGAAAAAAAATCACCCAATGTGGGGAGTCTTAACAGCCTCCACATTTGTGTTGGGCTTACATCCTCAGGTTAGGAGTGACCAGGGAAAAGGGCACCCACCACCCAGGCAGAGTGAGGCGCTGTGCATCTCTATATCCTGGTATCTGTATAGGTTGGACATAAGGGTCCCACCGGGGTTCCATCGGCAGCCAATGGTGTGATGCAGAACAGAGCTGAATACCTTCTTGTTGAATGGAAACAGGGATGGGCCGGAGGGGGTGTGGGGAGTGGAACTGTCTGGCTCCCTGGAGCTGGTCCCGGGATGTCCTTTGAGAGCTCTCACGGCCCAAAGACATGGATCTGTTTGGGCCTGACCCTTTTCCATGGCGTTTCAGGAGAAACGAAGAAAAGTTCTGTTTACTGTTTGCAGTGGGACTTCAGGGAATCTTTGGAGTGAAGTTTTAGGAAGGAACACTTACAGAGCAGATGGCTTAGACCAACGTGGGCAACACATTTCCCCTTTCT